AGCAGCCCCTAACCTTTACTACCCTAAACCCTAAACCCCTAAACTGTAAAGGCAATGGCTCAGTGGGTGTTAAACCCAGACTTCTCGAGGCCTCCGTTTCGACAGCATCTGGGCCATTGACATCGACAACTATGTTTCTGCCCCAAGGTTTTCTTATGGGAGTTTCCGAAAATTAAGGGTTACCTTATGTTTTTTGTCGGTCCTTCTACTCAGGATCCTACTACTATATTTAGGGTACTATGTGAGGGTCCCCTACTTTCGGAAACCCCCTGATCGAGCTGTAAATCAGGTTTGTAGAGATTTTTTCGTGATCAGTATGATTGGAAGAGGGTTCGGGGAGTATGTTTTCCTATAATTGTACACAAGGCGTGCTATTACAACGGCCACGAGAGCCTTGCATTCATAAATACCTCCGCCCCCAAGCCATGGAACGAACGAAGCGTAGAATCAGACAAGGTTTTCGATGCATCACAGAGTGAGTTGGTCTCAACCCGACGTCTGCAGTACAGTATTATTTTGAGATCTCTGGGAACTCTCTCGCAAATCTTCACAGCCTGTCTAGGTGAATTTGATGAACTTTCAGAGTCTCCAGAAAACCACAGCTCTATCCGATAGGCAGCATAGTAGTTCCTTTTGGGGATTACCTTACAGAACTCTAAATGAGAACCCCAAAAAGGGACTACTATGGAGCCTGTGGGTCACCTGCCCAAGACCCATCCCCAAACCCTGAGCGCTAAACTCAGCTTTGTTAAAGCCCGAAGCCTCGAGACACGAAAGCCTACCAAGGCTGAACCCTCAACCGCAAGCCTTTGGTTTAGGGTTTAGGGCTTAGGGGCACCAGCCCCAAGAGCCCTGGAATTGCAGAAGCGCGTCGGAAGACCCCGAAGCCCCGAACGCCTTAACTCGAATCCCAGGTTCGACCCTCCTTTGGCGTCGGAGCGCCGCCGATGTTTGATCCAGCTGCCACGGCCTTAGAAGAGCAAGCAGAGTAACTAGGCACGTTTTTGTCATTTTCTTGAGGAATCCCTTACTATTAAAACCAAGCAGCAGCAGAAAGGCTACTGGGGAACCTAGCGAATTGGGCCTTAGGGGAGACCACCATGACCTACTGTTGCTGCCACTGCAACCGCCGGCAACTGCTACTACTGGTACCACCACAACCTCTGCGACAACGACGGCTACTAACTACTAACTACTAATAATAACTACTACTACGACTACTACTACTACTACTACTACTACTACTACTACTACTACTACTACTACTACTGCCACTCCTCCTCCTTGCTGCTGAGCTGCCTGGGCTTAGGGTTGAGGCTTGAACACCCCATGTCGCAGGTCCTGGGCCGTCTGATCATGCCAAAGATGTCTTCGGACATGGTTTCGTCGCGAACTCGGAGCAGTGCGTAGTCTAGGCTGGGCTTTGGAGTACCATACTTTAATACTTTTTTGGGACCTGTTACTTAAAGGCAACCAATTATGAAAGAAAAGTCTAGACTTTCTTCTCCCTGGATACTTCAAAGCCAAGTAGGGCTCAGGGCTTATACAGGGTGCAGGGTTTCGGACTCAAGGTTTGGGGCAATGGCTTAGAAGCACACAATGCGTTGATCTGATCGCTTGGCAGGCTTGATTTTCGCTTGGCTGACTTCCATCAGGCTCTGCGCAAAACAGCCACCCAGCATCACAACCCTCCACGAAATACTGCACACCAGGTTTAGGGCTGTTCAAACCCCATGCCCTATCCCCCAAGCCCTTTGAAATTAAATAGTAGGAAGAACACAAACACTTCCTTTGATATTCCACCGAAGTTGCCCTTGAGGGCGTTTGGAACCTCGCCATTTGAAGACAAGCTGGCAGAGGGTCTCCAGGCGACATGTTCTGCTTGGGTTTAAGTAGGGGTTTGGGATATCGGGGCCTGGATAGTTAGAAGAAGGCTTTGAGGTACAATTTAGTATAGTTAAGCACTTTCGAACTACAATGGGCACATTACCCATATCTATCCGGTAATAACTATGTAAAATCTTCTACGAAACACTGCAAAACCTTCATTAAGGCCGATGCCAGTGGACAGTGCTTTAGGCTTTTGTGCTGAGTCCTTTGAGGAAGTCGGTATCTGAGGAGGTTGCGGGTTAATGCGAGGCTCAGCTCCTGCAGTACTCAGATCCTGCAGTACCCTTCTACGGTTGTTCTTATTCAGTCTTGTTGGTTATTGGTAATCTGGTAATCTGTTGTTATTGCTTGTCATGGCAGTAAATGTTGTTGCCATTAGTATTCTGCCAGCTAGGGTCCAGGGCCTACTTAAAGGATCAGGGGACTTAACGAGTAGCCTACAAGAGTGTAACCCCAGCTCTGCGTATTTAAAATTCCCAGCCTAGGTTCCTATAATCCGACGTACATCCCGTCGCATCCCGAACTTCAGAGCTTAGGGTTTAGGGGTTAGTTCATGTCCAGTAGCAGATGATTAGAGCCCTGGAATAGGATCCACGTCTCGTCAAAGGGTGATAAGTATAAAGGCAGTCCCAACATGCAATCGAAATCCCTAGCTGATTTTGAATGATTTTGCAAAAACTTCAACCGGCAACCCCTAAACCCCAATATTGCGCTGCAAAAACCCTATTCAACTGGTTTAGGGCCCTACATCAGAGCAAGGCTTGGGCTCGAATTATGAGTCGGTTGTGTCTCTAAGCTTTGAGGCCACCCGCGAACGTTAAATTGACGAGGATCACTTAGGGACCCCTATCTTATTGGGCTTCATTATTAGAGGATTTGTATGGGATACCCCTATCCTAGTTGTTGCTTATGTGCTTTTTGGGGGCCCTAGTTACCGGTGACCTTGGTCTCAGAGCACAAGTTCTTTCTTTTTTGGAAGGGGCGCGGAGCGGGGTGCTTGGGCTCTGGGTCCTTCTCAACCGCTGCACCCGTGGGCTTCCGGGTCTAGTCTAGGACTTACGATATGGAATCCCCATGCGCACAGCGCCCCTGGTCACACACTCTTGAAGCGTGACAGATCTACATACTCAAACTAGTTGACGAACCACGGCAAAAAGCACACCGAAACCGAGTCCTCGAAGAGCATTCAAACTTTATGCTGCACATGCCTCGACTTGAAGGATGCGGGGACTCGCCGTTGCTTCAGAGATTCTATGGAGTTTAGCGTTTGGGGTTTAGTGTTCAGGGTTTAGGGTTTTGGTTGGTGGTTGGAGTTTAAGGCTTCATGTGCTGTTCGGAAGTACACCCTTTCGAGAGGTGGCTTTGGGCATCGACAGCTCGCGGCTGCTGGCAGACCACCCAGACTGCGCCTGGTTTACGGAACTTGGGGTTTCTTAAGCTATATTTGTTGCCATACCGGGATGTATGTCATGATGTCGTTTCCTATAAAGCCCCATCAAAAACTGATGTAAAGTCCTTCGTTAGGAGGCAAAGAGCTCGGTCGCTATGCTGATCTACAGATCCATTTCAACCGTTCCTTCCTCACTTCAGGACTACTTTGCAAGATCCACACGACATCCGAAGACTCCGGGGGCTTACACTCCACCGAGAGAAACCTTTTCAACCCAAGCCCGAATGCCTGAAAATGCCGGAGCCCTGAAATCCTGGCAACAACAAGCTAGGATGCCCAGTAGTACCCTTATTCCCTTTTGTAGTCATAGGTTCCCTACAAAGGTACCCAATACCAAAAAGGGAGCCCTTTTTATTCCTAGGTTACTGGGCATCCTAGCAAATCTAAACCGTAATGAAGCATGGTGTCTACTCAGGTCACAAGCCTTCAAGAAGACCCAGACAGCTCGGCTTAGCTGGCTTCAGATTTTTGGGCTGGGTTCTGGCTTACTAAGGTAATGGCTGAAGAATTTCAGGCTTGCGTCTTGGGGTTCTATGCTGCTCTGCAGGTTTTGTATAAGGCTGCAAGGGTTTTAGGTTCAGGCGGCTGTAGGCTTGCGGTTCAAGATGCAGACTGAGCCGTTAAGATTGAAACGCGCTTCCCATGTGTGATGGACAGACAAGTAGATGGACAGCTAGATTGCCGGTATCTGGTTGGTGTGCTGCATTGGCAACCACAGGCTTTCCTCTGAATTTCCTGTGGTTCAGGCGTAGGCGTAGTCACTCGCAGCCAGGAAGTTTTGGCACTCTAAGGGCTGCAGACACTAAGCCGAGAAGCGACAAAGCGCTCTCTGGAGTTTCAAGTTTCAATTGTTTCAGATTCAAAGCTGAGGGATCTCAGGTTTCAACGGTCTTCTTGAACTTGCCGTGAAGACTCGGACCCTCGATTCTGCAACTGCAGAGCTGCGGGCTCTAGGGTTTGAGCAGTGGTTTGGGCAGATGTTTCCGATAGCCGACATCAGGGTCTATCATGTGGGACTCGTAGTCTCGCAATCACTCTTCCTGTTTCCTCCTGCAGAGTATGCACTGCAACACTTTGGATTCTGGAAGAATGTAGGCCGCCGTATTTAGGCGAAGCCCCCGTGGGAGTTTGTGCCTTCCTACTAATTACTGTGTTAGCGTGTGTGATTATATTCTTGCTTGTGCTTTCGGATGTTTTTTAGTTTCGCCGGGTTTGGCTTATATATTCAGTGTCAACGACACAGAGAAGATTCACATTGCCCGTGCACACGGATGAGACCAAGTACCAAGAGTCGAAACACCACCTTGTATCTCCCTACTAGTCCTTAAACACCCTAAACCCTATATCCTAAACATCTTAAACCGTTCTCGTCCAATGTGTGGCCGCGTGGACGAGCTCATGGGCTGAAATTATGGTTTTGGGGCATGGGGCTTTAGGGTATTGGTTTGTGGTGTTTGGGCATTAGGACTTAGGATTTAGGGTTACGGTTATGAGTTGATGCCTGATGCAGGGGTCTGGGTGATTGGACAGCAGTGCTGCGGAAGCAGAGCATAGTCTGTCAATCAGGATTCCAATGTCGAGTCTGTGCGTGGATTGCGCTAGCAATTTCGGCTTTGCCATCGCATTGGCAACCCCCGCTGTCAGACACCATCCTGGCGAGATGACCTTCTACGTTTGCTATCCTGCGTCTTCCACTTCAGTGTCAGTGGACGGACCGAAGTTCTGCTTCAAGAGCAAGACAAAGATGCGCAACAAGGAGGTGGACGCCTTTTTGGATTCCAGGCCGCAGCAGGCATTTGTAAGGATTGCAATAGTCAGTTTTGTGAATTGGATTATACAATATTACGATATATTATAACAAGAAGTGAATCAATACTTCTGAATCTTCGGAATCTTCGATGAAGTAACAGTAGCAAATGATTAACAAGGTGGTTAAACCCAGCAGCATCAGCTACTTCAGGAGAACACGCACGATGCTGCCCGGAAGCTTGGGATGTCATTGTCAATGGAAGGTGGGGCAAGGGTGGGGCTGAACGGTGTCAGTTCAAAACGGATGGATGCACTCCGCGGCCCGAAAGACATTGTCAGGGTCACCCTCTCACCGGAAGCTCAACGTCTGTTCAGTAAGGGTCAACTGATTCCTGACGGCCCGCACGGCATCCTCACCGATGGAGCCCTGCAGGTGGGGGATAGCATCTTGACTTGAACAAACTTGTGAAATAAATATCATGACAATGATTCATTAATGCAGTCAGAGTCAGAGTCTTCAAGTCCAATTGAATAGTAGGCAGTATCGCTTACCAATTACATGTGTCGTCTTGGCCAAGGCAGCTGGTCGGAAATCAGTGTCACGAAGAATGCAAGGCTTGAGTTTTCCGGAACAGAGGAGTGGACCATCGGGCCTAGAGTTGAAGGGTCAAACAATGATGGAGCAGCTGGTGTCGCCAATGCAGATAGTGGTGGCCTTCCTGATGTGGCCTTCAGCTACTATGTGGTCACTGTGGGCAGTGTCACGACCATGGACCAGATGACAGCAGCAGCCCTAGGGTCAGGGCAAGAAGACCAATACTTGCATCATTTCGAGTTTTTGAGAATGAATACCAAGACAGTGGACATGCGAAGCAGACTCCAAGGCAGTGTCAATATCATATTGTTTGAAAATGCAGTGCATGCAGCGTCAGCAACACACGTGTTCATGAAAGGATGCATGCCAGTCGTCAACTTGTTGAATCTCAAGTTCAACATGCAAGACGCTGCACTCGTTGCTTCAGTGTCAGTGGTTCCTTCGACCAGTTGCATTGTTCCCTACAGCATCTTGCACGGCGAACCGCACTGTGCCAACGATATCTTGAAGAAGGCCCAGGTTACTGGAATGACAGGCAGCTTGTCCGTTGTGGGCGAGTCAGTGTCAGACTTCGTCGACCTGCGTCGCCTTCGCACGGAGTCCGTGCAGAAAAGGCCAGGCATGTTCCAATAATGTCATTCTGTGTCCGGCTTGAATCTAGAGGCTAAACTACAAACAAGGAGACATGTTAATTATAACCCCACTCAATTATTCATTTCTGCCTGTCCATGCAGGAAGCGTGCGCACATTGAGATGCTCGAGAAGGAGCTTGCCGAGGAGCGCAAAGATGTGACCACAGAAGCAATGTCAAGCTGAGAGTACAGCCTGAATCGCTAGCAACATTCTGCCTTGGCACGGTAGCTACTCTAAGCTAACAGTGTCAATGCGTGCGACTAGACGTGTCTGAGAGTTTCGTTGGCCATGGTTCTACCGTGCCAGTGTCAGAGCTTTTGCCAAATCAGCTCTTGAACGCCCGCTCGCCCAATGTCCGTGCGTTTGGTAGGTGGCATAACTTCCGTGTCAGAGTCATGAAATGCAATAAGATATGATAATGATGGACCGGGCAATCTGGGCCAGCAGAGCCAGTGTCATACCGAGCAGCATGCCGGGATGAACAAGGGCAGATCAGAGTCTTGCTGCGGCATGGTCGACTCTGACTGGTTGACCTGGTACTTGATCGTGCCAGGCCGTCAATGGATGCAGCAGCGCTTGCTGGATGGATGAAAAAGTGATCCGCTTCTCTCAACATGTGTGCACCATTGCTACAGTGTCAGCCCAACAGGTTTCAGAAGTAATTTTCAGGGCCTCCAAAGCACAGCCCAGTATTAGTGTATTGTTATTCTACGGGTGTAGTACTATAGCATTGCATGATCTTCTGATTTTGCGATTCTACTATGACATTTCTGTTAAACGATCATGCAATGTTAATAGATCTATCCACCTGTTCTGAGTTTTATCCGTATACGAAGTGTTCTTCATCGTCTCCTCATTGCATCACTATGCTGCTGAATTACAAGAACAAATGAATGTCGTTTTATCATTGTATGTTGTATTTTTAAGTTTAGCTCGTCTCCCCATTGCATTACTATGCTGATATGTTACAAACGTATATGAGTATCATTCTATCATTGCCCTAAAAGTCCATGTGCCCATATAGAGATACATGAGCCCCAAAGTACCTATATAGGGACTACATTAAGGCCAATGTTAGTATACATGAGCACATGGACCCTTAGGGTTGGTTGTTATCATTCTTGCCAGGGCATCATGGCCGATTTCTCCATCCTCGATGGCCTGGGCTCTCGGAGAGCAGTTGGGTTTCCTCAGCCGCTTTAACCCTAATACAAGGGCCTTAGTGACTACTTATACTATTTTGGGGTTTCCTCATTATAAGTATAGTATAATGAGATGATTACTTATACTATGTTGGGGTTTCCTCAGTATACATATATATATATGTATATAGAGTACAATGAGCCCCAGGCCCCAGAGCCCTATTCTGATGATTTAGGCCCCTACAGTAGCTCCACCTGCGCACCTGAAAAGGTATTCTGGCTGGGCGAGCAGGCAGAAATGAGTCCGCATAACCAAGCCGGGATTGGGGGGCAGTGTAGGGTGTCGGCGATTCGATTTGTCCTACTTGCGGCTGTGGCACAGGTATGTTGATAGTGCTGTCGTTTTTCGTGTTGGCACTTGCACGAGGCCGTTGGTCGATTCCCGCTTTCATATTATTCTTATAGTACTGTAGTCAGTTGCTTTAGGGCCATGAACCATGGCACAACACTTCTGGAGGTTTCGCGAGTCGCTGTATGCTGCCTTCTGCAACAAAAGGTCACTCATTCTGGCCTTCACACCAGGCAGAAGTCGGCAAAGCGCTGAACCAGCGCCACCTCCATGCCCTGTAACAATCCTTAATCCCGCAACCCTACTCCCGTCAGAGAAGGTTTTGAACTGTTGAGTTCAAAATCTTGAATCAGTGCGCGAGTTCATGAGCTCAGCGATCCCACGACTCGCCGGCCCTTCGTAGAAGATGAAGGGATCCGTACCATCTTTGCCTCAAACTCAGCCTGTAGTTTGAGTTCTTGATAAGGGGTGGTGAAATACCACTCCCTACCATTCCCAATCGAGAAGAATTATGAGACACTCACCTCCTTCACCCTAGGCCTCGATTTGCCCGCCGCCCCATTTGAGGCTACGGACCCTCTCCTGAGACGCTGTTCAATGCCCTCTGGAGGCCGGCTCCTTCAACGGTATGTTCTCTAAATTTAGGGTGCCTTTTGCCGTCCCCAAATATCCCAAATTAGTAAGACACCGCAGCCATTGCTATGAGGCTTGAGTTTTAGTTTAAAGACTGCCTGCGTTTCTAGGATGCAGGTTGTAGGGTTGAGGCGTCAGGATTGACTGGAAAGTGTTTTTTGAGGTTTCGCTGTGGTGAGTCTTTGGTGGAAGGGCCCCCAGCGAGCATTTGCCAGGTCGGCGGGAATAAGCTTGAGGTCTGGGGGTTCAGGGCTCCCTAACCCCCAAAAGTAGGTAGATCATGGCGCAATACCTATAAAAGGCCATTACTCTACACATTATCTTGCGGCCTTGAGGTTCAGGGCTTTGGGCTGAGGAGTTGGGGTTGAGAGTGGTTGAATCAGTGCCTCCGACAGTCCCAGGCTGTACATACAGCCTCAGTACAATGACGTAAGAAGGGAAAAGGGAAGAATAACCAAGGGGCTTAGGGTCTACGGAAAGGTCCGAATAGTTAAGTGTGGTATACCCTTACAGTTCCTCAGTTATTACAAGGCCTCTACACCAAATCCCCTCTAAACCTTGCCAAGGGCTCATAAGTCTCCTGCAAAGGCCGATTCTCATTGCTGAGGGCGCCATACTAAACTTGCATCATCAACTCCTTTTGCAGCCCTTTCTAGAACCTTTACAGAGCCCGAGGCAAGACCCCCTTATGGACCCCTTAAAGAGCCACAAGAACCCTTGAAGAACCATTCAAAGAAGCTTAAGTAAGATCCGAAAGCGCTGATGGACAGGCAACTCCTTGAGCCACGGAGCAGCATCAACGCCGGTGCCATCGCAGATTGGGCCGGGCACCCTGATATTTGGGGTATGGGCTTGATGTAGGAGCGTTGCCGGGATTCCTTGTTTCAGGGATCTGGAAGGGTTACCAATTATGAGGGTTCCAACAAACTAGGCGCTGACACAAGTTGTAATTGTGCTCCAAGTAGCTGGGCCCTAAATTTTAATGTGGCCCTAGACCCTAAACCCCTAAACCCTATAAACCTCTTGAGGTTCACATAACATCCGCTGAAATGCCCCGGTCGGTTTAAGCTTGAGGTTTAGGGCTTTGGGGTCTCAGGGTTTTTGGGGTTTTGTGGTTTAAGGGTTTAGGCTTTCGGGTTTTAGGGTTTAGGGTTTAAGGGTTTAAGGTTTAGGCTTCAGGGTTTTAGGGTGGGTATTGGGTTTCGATGTTGTGAGGGGCTTCGGCACCTAAAAGCTCCCATTCCAAGTCGCACCCTGGCCCGAAACCTTAGCTGCCTTAGCTTCCAAGGATTATATTCGGGTCCAGTGTTCGGGCTTTAGGGTTTCGGGTTTCGGGTTCCAAAACCCTAAACCCTAAACCCGGTTTAGGGTTTCAGGGTTTAGGGTTTCGGGTTCGGGCTTAGGCCGACACGGCTTCCCCTAGATGCCCGAACCCTAAACAACTCCTACAGCCCTAGAGGCTGAAGCACATGATGCCCGAAACTTCGAAGAAGCATAGTATAGAGGCCTCAATAATCAGAAGAGGGTTTTGGCGCCCATTATGCTATAAGTATAGTAAGGAACCCCCAAAATAGTATCGGTCGTTATTAAGACCCCTATATTACTTGAAGCCCCATGTTTTGAAGTGTGACCCTTAACAACTAAAGCACGACTAGAGCTTTCGACGATCTCCTTGGGACACGGAGTTTAGAAAAGGCTGAAGCTCCTAACCCGGAAGCGTCTCGATCAAACCGGTAAATCGTTTAGGGTTGAGGGTTTAGTAAACCTCTCCAACCCCGAAACTAAACCCTCAAAGACCAAAATCCAAAACCCTGAACTCCCCAACCCTGTTCAGGTCGTTGACGCCAAGCTTGAACGCATGGGGCAAGAGCCTGAGAGGTGTCCTTGCGCAAGGGCTCCGACTGTTTTGTCTTTTCGAGGTCCTTTAAGGGTGCTGCCCGGCTCTGACACCTGGCGCGGGGGCGGGGGGATTCGGAAGCACTTGGATGTTTCTCTTGCCCTCAGTACAGTCCTCGCGGGCTTGCAGCCGCTTTTTAACGGTGTTGTAGCGGTCCGGAGTGTGGTTAGAAAACAGTCAACTGATACCTTCAGCTGAAACCCGCAAACCCGAAACCCTGTAAGGCTTTAGGGAAACTTTAGGGTTTTGTAGGGTGTTGCAGACCTAGGGCTTTGTACCAAAACCTGCGAAGACCTAAGCATACACCCTCAAACCTGAGCCCTAGCAAGCCTAGACTGGCCCAGCATCCGAGGCCTCCACCTGTCTCCTTTCGAGAGCGGGTGGGTAGGCAACGCACGGGGCAGTCCGAAAGCCTGACCTTCGAAAGTAGGGGAGCCTAATAGACTACCCTAAATATAATCCTTATTATAAGGACCCCAAATAGGGTAATTACACCCTATTTTCGGAAACTCCCATATGCGGAAGGATAAGAACTTTGCTGGGAATTTGATCGAGTGTTTCTATGGTTTCAGAAGGGTTCTGTGTGTGGTTGGACCCTCGGGCATGAGGTTTGGACTGAAGGTAATCCCAAAAAGGAGCTACTATGGGGCCTCTGGGTACTGAGATTGAATCTTTGGGCGGCTTGCCTGAAACCCGAAACCCTTGTTGTTTAGGGCGTCGGGCCCGGATCCTGTGAAACCTGCTTTTTAGGGTTCCTTTTTCTGGTTTCTTAGTCCCTAAAAGGGTAGGGTATTTGGGATCAGGGCAGGGTTTGCCGTTTAGGGGCCGGGGTTCAATGATTCCGGGTCTTTAGCGGGCTGCAGAAATCTTGATGGAGGGTGTCAGCACGTTGTGAATCTGGGCCGCGCTCTTCTCCCCTGAGACCTATCCGCTGAAACCCGAAACCCTGAACCACGAGCCTGGACAGCTAATGTAGGAACCTGATTAAGAAGCCTTGGGCCTTATTAGGCTTCCTCATATGAGCCTTAATATGTTAGGGGTTATAGGGCCAGGGTTTCTTAATCAGGTTCCTACATTATCTCAGTCAATTATCTCTGACTGCTTCGGTGTTCTGCTACACTCCGTAAACAGAAAAATCCTGCATGAAGCGCTGTTGCTGCAG